AGACTCGCCAATTTGTTATCTAAAGTCGGCGAAAATAAAAGAATTTAGACATGATGTGTCTTATATGGTTATACATTGTTCTCGTTGTATATTTGTCTATGTTTTAAATATGTATAGATGAGACTACGTATAATAAAGAATATATAATATGCAAATATAATGTGTAGATAATCCTTTGTTTCATGAATACCTAATTGTGGGTTGCGTTACTCTACTTTATTTTATGAATATGTTCGACATAATCTTATTAATATACAACACACTCGATAGTGTGTTAAATAAATAAAACACAAGTTAAATATTTATACGACGGCAGTAGAATTTTTGTTAAAGTCAGTTATTGAAGTTACACAACTTACAATATAAAGAGTAAGAAAGGGTTATATCTAATGCAGGGAAAAAGGAATTCTAACTTCCTTTGCTCTTGCATAGTTACGCGTTGTGGCGATCATACATGAACATTTTATGTACACGAGGTCACAAACATTGCACTGTATGTATATTATGAACAAAAGTTCGTAGAACACGAAATATCCCCCTTCATACATTCTGTTAGTGACCTTTGACCTACTGATCTTAAAATCAATAGAGTTCATCTATGAATGATGATCAACTTTCCTACCAACTTTAATGATCATAGGACAAAAGTTGGATTTCTAAAATTTAATATACTGTACACTGACTTTGAAGTTTTCTTTCATCGCCATTAAACATCATACACGTGGGATTAACGCGTGATTACTGTCAATTATAGTGGGTGCGAAAATGTTATGACAACACGTGTTTGCACGTAAATAATCAAGCAAGATAATCTACATGGCTATACAATGTCAATGTTGTTGAATTGTGATAATATATTTTGAAATACTAGTATATGTTTTCTCTGAAAATCGGGACATAATGATCTTTATGATACATTAATATTTTTACAAAATATATCAATGTAACATATTTATACTGTACTTTCTTCAATCTGCTATATTTGATATTCAATAAGTCACTTTCGTCAGGTGCACAATGAGCAAAAGGAAGATAGATGTCTCAGCTAATGTATAAACATTATGCAAATAAATGAAGATTAAATCATCTTAATGATTTAAAAAAATTAACCAAACAAATTTAGTTTTCATTATATACGTTTACAAACTGCAAATTCAATTTAAACGCTACATTTAATATTTTTACTTTCATTTCCTGTCGCTCACAGTCGTCCGGATAAACCACTTTCTATTGTTCTCTGTGAGCGAAAGGAAGATCTCTGAACTTGTATACAGTATAGAAATTATGCAAATAATTTGATATATAATCATAATCATTATTTTGGAAAGAAAAGTATCCATCATTTATGAAAAATACGTCTATAACTGCAAAATTATTATAAATTTCAATTAAAATAATATATTAAATATTTTATAAGTCACTTTCGTATTTTTCAGTGTGAGCGAAAGGAAAATCGCTGAACTTGAATATAAATATAATGCAAATAAATGGGGTATAAATCATCATATTGTTAAAGTCACTTTCGCTCATTTTCGTCAAAAAGTCACTTTCGTATTTTAGGCAAACCCCGATACGTGTGTAAACCACGTGGTGTAAATAACGCATTTTCATTGGATGTTGTTTTTCTTTAGCTAGAACTTTAGTCACGTGTCTAAATAAAAGCATTTCTTTTTCATTTTGAATTATTTCATCACGTATTTTATTATAACATTAATTATATACTGATATTCGTTCATGTTAAAAAAGACAATTCTCGCGAGACTCATTTACGTGAAATTAGACCAAAACAATATGATCTTGTGGTTCCAGTAACTTGACCGACCCTGTATTTCCGCACCTAATCTTGAACATTTTATTGCAAAAATGGAGTATCCTACAGTTATATTTTAATAAAATACTAATTAAAAAAATGTTTTTTTCCGACCTACCTACCCTATTATTTTTCAGCACGTTACCAGAACCTCAAGATCATTTTGTTTTTGGCTTTATGACGTCAAACACACAGGCCAATTTTTCCCATGGAATTCTTATCTTATGTATACCATATCACACGCCGGCCGGCTACATTGCTATCCTGATGCATACATTTACAAAGTCTTCTGAAATTAGATTTTCCATATACATATATATTAGCATGGTGACACATGATGACACATGTATAACATCAACTGGTTTGATAACAGCTTCAAGGTACCATGGTATATGCATATTTTACAGATGTATATATCAACACAAATCCATACTTTGTCCACATGAAGTGACATTTTGCCCATCCATTTATAGTGGGAGTGGAAAATATATGTCAAAAAAACTACATTTTTGCTATGTTTGTATTCAATTAATATTTCCAAACGCAAAAAGAGAAAAGGCAAGTTAGGTAGCTAAATGCAACGATGTTCTTGTGATAAAATCACACTTAACCCTTTCGCTGCCAGAGGGTTATTGTTTTATTGATCACCTATTTGCCAGAGGGTTTTCAAAGAAATTACTATATTATTAATTAAAATAATTATTATTATTATTTGTTATTAGTATTATAATAATTATATAAGATAAGATAAGATAAGATATAGTTTATTATCGTGACATGTGCATAAATGACATAGATACATAATATACAGATGAAAGAAAAGGCACCCGGCCCTTTGGGCCTATATGTCACCGGGAAATCAATGATGTCATTATTTACATAATTCAACAAAGTTACTTCTTTTATACATAGGATGATCTGAAGTACATGTACAAAATACTGGTAATATATTTTCTTACGTTATCAAATATCAACAACTAATTAGTTACTATGTAAAGGTACTTTGAGCGACATATTACAATTATTGTGCTTATTATTATACATATATAATTTAGGCGACATATTACAAATATTGTAATTATCATAATACATATATATACATTATTCAAGTACATAGCATTATATACATTTAAATTTCATATACAACACTCGTTACTGAGAAGATTGGGATTTGGAAAACAATTTACTTTTGAAAGTTTATATCACTTAGAATGTGTTACTGAACTGGTGAAAGAGTGATCACACTATTTAATATTCGAATAACAACAATATTACGTTACTGAACTTGCGTTAAATATATCGTGTATATGTATATATAAGAGGTATGGTTTCAATAATAGTACGGACACAGACATATAGTGAAACAAAGAAAACTTTGAATTACAATATTACATAATTATATTATACACACATTCATTGCAAAATGGGTTCATTTTAATTACATATACAAGACTATATGTATATAATGGTTTAAGTCAAAATAAGTTATCAAGGTTAATTGATTACTATGAGAGCAAGACACTTCTTCTTTTAAGGTAAGCGGATATAAGAAATTTTGCAAGTTTTCTAGGGTAGTTTGAAACAATATGAGATAATCTCTGATTCATGTCCATGGGAGGATCGTTAACGAAATCAAAAAGAGTTCTGAACGTATTTTCACGCAAGTGTTTATACTGTTCACACTGAAAAAGGAAGTATTTCTCGTCTTCTACACGATTCGAGGTACAAAGTCTACATAATCTCTGATCAGGCTGTTCTCCAATGTAACGTCCTGTTTCAATTCTTAACGGTAGAGTACCAGTTCTAAATTGACACAGTATCGATCTTTCGTTCTTGTTTAAGTTCAACAATACATAGTCTTCGCATTTAAAGCTGTCTTTAAATATTCGGTAAGTTCTTAGTTTTAGCACTGTTTGGACATCTTCTGACCAAATATTGGAATATTTGGTCACTATTAAACCGTTAGCATGTGATAAGTTAATAACTGTTCTATTGTCGTAATTTGAGTTTAATCCAAGTGTAGTCATAACATGTTTTATGTCGGAAGACCAATTATTGTTGCATTTAGCGTAGTCAGTATTGAACACTTTCTTTGTAATTCTCGAATCGTCCATCAATATTAATCTATTCCACAGTCGCAGAATATTTCCCCATCGTCTGTGAACACTAGGTATCCACCCAGTGTCACCAACCATCGCAAGAATAGGCGTGAAGCGATGGACACCAAGGAAGTACCGCATGGCTCTGTTTTGGACATTGTCTGTTGCTTGATATTTCTTAAAGCCCCATACTGATGAGCAATAGTCCAGTATAGGCATATATCAGTATATATGTTTCCAAATATGCAAGTATAATAATAATCATTGTCGATGGTATAATTTTCTTTATATTTATTATTATTATTATTATTATTATTATTATCATTAATTTTTATTATTATTATTATGATTATTATTATAGAAACGGCAAAAGCCGTCCATATGGCAAATACGCCGAAAATAACAGGGACGGCATAAGCCGTCCCTATGGCAGTGAAAGGGTTAATCAAACAATAAACAACTGTCTTATTTCTAAATGCAGAATATCCGACTGGTATTTAAGGCAATAATGATTCCTATGATAATGAATTTATTAACAGCTGTCAAAATATCTTAAATTTGACCTTTTAGGAAATAGTGTGTATGAAAAAAAGTTCACAATTTAGAAAAAGGAGCGGTAGCAACTAGCTGAAAGTTCAATTATTGTTAAGTTTTAGCTGAATAAACACTGACTTTGTTTATACCTGACGTTTTTGATTCAATAGTTATTTCTAAAGGGAAAGTTATGACAAATGCGGACTGAATGATTGACGTGAGGAAATGCCAAAACCCCTACAATCAACGTCGCAACGGGCAAAAATGTAGAACGGTTCAGTCGGTTTTAATATCAATAGTGCATTATTAATAAAGTTATCATGTATCCCGTATTGACAATTGTTCCAAATTGAAGCAATTTTACTTGCTGATGTGCAGAGTTGTACGAAGACTATTGATTTACTTGTATGTTTCCATATCCAAAAGCATATTATTATGTTGAATGTTATCTTACCTTTATCTTGACGCCAAATAGAGAGAAAAAAGAAACAATTTTAGTTCAATTGCAGAATATAAAAGCCACAGAACTATCATTGTTTTATAATTTTTATTCCCGAAATTATATATACTTATTGATTAACAGGATTAGACTTAAAACAAGTCATATAAATTTTCATTTTCTTATTTCTCACAGAGAAAAGACAAATAACAACGAATCAAAATGCTACTTAAATACATGTTTATATAAAAAATAATAGCGTTATTTAAAAATATAATACACGTATAATATTAAATAATTATACATTATTAATAATTGAACATAAGCGGAGTTCTGGGCTGAGTGGGTAAGGTCGTTGACTTCAAACCACTTGCCCATCACCGCCGCTGTAGGTTGAAATTCTGTAAAGGACTATACATTATTTACATGAGGGACCTTACGGAACGTCGGTTGTGCTGCTAAGGTGCTCGTTCGTGCCTAAAATAATGCTATGAGGGTCGTCGGAGTTTCCTTCACCAGTAAATCAACCATCAAACAAACAAATGAATATTTACATTTTCACAAGATGATGTATGTAAGATTCTACATTAAGTATTATTCAAAGAATTAAATAAAAATATAAATAAAAAACAACGTGTGTAATTCAATACCCGTAATAAGATTATATTGCTGAGTAAAAATAACAATACAAATTTGAAAAAAAAGACAAACAACAAAAACAACAACAACAAAAACAACCACAACAAAAACATTAATAACATCAAATAGACAAACAAATAATTCGTAAAAATGAACTTGGAACAAGGATAATGTTGAAATAAACTTGAACATGTTTAAGTTCTAGTAAGAAGGCACACCAACTATCACGCGCATAGTATGCATACCGTGCAAGCATTCGTATTTGTCAATATATAGTCTATACGTAATCACACCCCACTAGCTTTATAGCATGTAAGTTCTGATCTTTTCTTTGATATGCCGCCGACAAACAGGGCATGTTTGCAATGACTCGGCACATGACATGCAAAGCCTATGGTGGGTGCACGGCAAGAACAATGCATTAATGTTATTTTTCTTACATTTCATACAAAATACATGATTTTTCAGACGTTTATTTTCCTCAAAAGGTGACTCTGAAAAGAAAATATATGTAAAGCTATATATATCATTATCCTTTGTTGGTTAAACTATCCTTTGTATTGAAACCTAAACATTTTTACCTTTTCAAAAAAACGTTCACATACAGGTATATTGATGATGTGTTTAGAATTGACAAATATAAGGTAGTCATTGAATATAGACCGACTATAAATTAAAATACAATAATAGGATTAAACAATTATACGCACGAACAGAATTTGCATTATAATGACAAACAGATTCTGTTCACGTTTCCCTTATTTAAATATTCATTTTACATAAGTCTTTTTTCTTTTGTAATGAATGCAAGAATTTAATACCTTCAACATTAGGTACAATGTTCGAACTGGCATCTTTCCTGTCTATTATTACTCCAATAACGTCAACAATGTCTTCAATTGAAGGATCTGTGTTACCTGAAATGATAACTTCGTATGTACGAAAACTAATCCAAAATAAAAGTCGCCATTTTGCTGTGACTTATACTGAAGTATTCAACATTTAGGTAGTAAACCATATATTGAAATTAATCGGAACATCTTATCATTAATGTTCAAAAAAGTAAATAATATACTTTGTAAATGATGCTTTTATAAGATTATAACAGAAAAAACTTTCAAAATCATTTTCAGATATTCTTTATATTAAGATTGGACGAATAAAATTATGAGGATATTTGACGAACCTCTTTCATTAAGTTCAAGTACGGCTTCCTTTAAATCCATCTCTTCAAAACCCATATCGCGACAGATAGGTCCATGCTTTTTTATGACATTTTCAGTTTCAGACTCCCGTATCCGGAGTCTCTCCATAGCATTGACCATTGCGTCATTCTCACCTCCCCCACCACTCGCTTCAAACCTCTGGTAGGAACAAACCAAGATGTAAGTATTGATGTACAGACAATTACATCTCCGATTATAAAATATTAATAACTTTTATAATAAACCTTTATTGACATACTTTATGGGCTTTATTATTACTTTTTTATTTCATATATTAACACGCATACCTGTTAAAGAAACTCAAGACAAGATCTACTGACACGAAGAGAAGTGTTTATGAGTTTACTATTTTTATTAAAGATATAAAATTAAATGTAAAGTGAATCTTTATACGATATCTTCTATAATTTTTATGAACCTCGTTTTCAACAGACGCTTGAATGAGAGCTATAAATTGTTCGCCCTTTTGTTCCACAGCAAACGGACAAGCGGGGAACCAGCGGCAATGCTCTGTCCAAGGATCATCTTCAGGGTCCCAACGTCGTAGTCCTCCGTCACAAGCAAAACAACGCACATGGTCATCAATGCCTAAGATGCATAGAGACACATTGGAAATGTATAAAATCACAGTTGGTTCATATACATTAGTATTAATTGGGATTTTATTGTATTTCTTCCAACAATATCTTCATAATCTTCACTGGAGTGAAAAATGTTGTAAATGCATGTAGCTTCAATACTACATAAAGCAAAATGATCAATATAAATTGAGATATTATCGCATATTATTAATTTTTGTTTGCAGTCAAACAAATTATTTATTCCACATTTTATATTCACGTTGTATCGCTCATATACATGAATATATATTGCAGGCCGAAATCACCCCACACATACTTTGATAAATGACGTTTTCTCATTTACTGCCCTCTTCTCCTGTTGTATGCCGCACTACGTTTTTGCTCCTCCTCGGTAAGCTGTACGACATGATACTGTGGTTCTACGTCCCATGAACATTAATCTCAATTTAACCTGCACGTGTTTCACATTTAGATTAAAATTTTAGGACTAAAGATTTATATCTGAATATGAAATATATATAGTAAATCAAGTCGCTTAACAAATACGGATATATCGGCAAAGTTAATACAAACCAGCCTCAGTTAATCTAGTTTTAATGTACATTGCAATATATTACAAGCAACCCCAAGTTCATATAGTTCATACATACCATTATATGTGGTCGTCCGTGGCGGAATGATTAAGGTCGCTTACTTGAAAACATTTCCTCTCTCCGCTGTGGGTTCGAATCCCGACAGGAACTTTGGATTCTTTCATGTGACGATGCTATCTAACTAGCTAAGTGAACGTCGGTGGGTCTACTCAAGTGACCGCTCATGGCTGAATTAGTTAATGCACAGAAGTGCACTTTAGGTCTTCCTCCACCAGTAAAGTTGGAAAGTCGCCCTTTGACATATACTGTGTTGTTGAGACGTAAAACCCAACAATCAATCAATCAATCAATCAATCAATCAAACAATCAATCAATCAATCAGTCAAATAAATAAATAAAAGAAAAAAACAACAATAAAATGAAAAAAAACAACAAAAACACAAAAAACAACAAAAAACAACAAACAAACAACAAAAACATACCAATATAATACAAGCCGGCCTCAGCCAAACGCTGAGGCGTTTGTATCATGTGTCGAGGCCAGTTTGTAAACGTTAAAAGACGAGCTTCCATTGTTCGATATTCAGGGTGTCGATAGCCTACTAATTCACCAGGAGGCAACTCACCTGTCAAATTATCGGAATCTTATAACAATGTAGATTTAAGTAAACAACAATACAGTATATTGTAAGTGCGTATATTAAAACTTCACTTCCTTGTTTTAACTATAAAATGTAAAAATAAAATCTTTCTAACATGAACAAGAACAATCAATTCTATGTTTGTTCCTTGATCTTGGTATAGTGGATGAAATGTTTTGCAATTTAATTAAAAATAATTCGTAACTCTCCTGAACTTACCATTTAATTGCATCCGACGATTAAATTCGGGGTCTGTTTGTCGAAGGTGTCTCTAAAACAAGTTTAAAAAATTAAAACAAAAACAGGAACCCCAATAAACAAGCAAAGGAAATCAAACGAAATAAACCCAAAGAAAATGTGAACAATTTCAGGCATATAAAAGATACTTTTATAGATGTATTGGTAAAAAACAATGTAGCGATTTTCCTCTCATTATATATAAAACATAAGTTTAGTTATTCATGTTTAAACATATACAAAACAATACGTACTTAGAATTTTGATTCTGGTCTATTATAAAAACTATCATGCATCGTAAATGTAAAAACATATATATATATTTTTACAAAAGGCTGACAATATTATTGCAAATTTTAAGTTGTAGGTTTTTAATTAAAAATGATACCTTAATTGATGCTAGCCTTTCTTCGCCAAGGAGTTGAGGTAAAAAAGGACACTTCCCCGAATGTCTGACATGTTCAAGTAATGGATCATCATTTTGTGAAAAATCTTTAAGTCCAATGCCGCACTGAAAACAGCGGACAAGGTCACCGTCGTCTAAAGAAATTAAATGAGGATTATTTGATAATTTTAGTTGTCATATGAATAAGCATACGTGGCTTATTATGGACGTGTTTGTGGTATTTTAGTTTCTTCTATTATACTTTTTTCTGATTTGGTGATTCCAGTATTCTGACTAAAATGCTGTAAATTATCCGCTATTTAAATGTTTCTTTTGACGTCTCATCGGTGACTTTTAGGCTTCATAACCTGTGATTCCTTTTAAAAAGTCCTTTTTTGTTCCGCCCATTGTTTTCTTGTTAAGGGCACAAAAGGTTGCTTTTCAGCGTATGGCACAAATGCGTGACATAGAGGTTCCATGATATTAACCGCAAATAAACACATCTGCGGATGTTTCTAATTTCAAAATTTTGCCATTACATGTTTAATGTTGAATACAATGTACTGCTTAAGTTAGTGCTAGGGGGCATGGACAGTAGCTAGCATTTTCAAGTACCGTCTATGAACAGGATCATTTAAACAGAGCCTGTCCAATTTTCAATTTTTCGGTTTTGGGCGTTCTTTAGAGATTCTGTTTTTCTCTATTTTGTCAAAGTGTCATATTCTATTATTACATCAAATTGCATGACTGGCCTTGTCATATGCTTATCTAATCATATATTTACATCCGAAGATTAATATGAATTAGTTGACGTCACGTTCATAACCTTTAAGCATGTAAGTGTACACTTGAATGTTTAGTTTAACAACTGATAACATAATTAGAGATTGTATTTAACTGTTAAAAGATAAACGATTAGCGTTTTCAGGGCTCATTTTTGAATCAATATCAAACAGCACTTCACTAGTTAAAATCATGACTAAACATTAATAATACAGAAATATGTATGTGAACCAAATGCATTTATGGAACACTATCGCAAGTGAAATATTTGCTACATTTTTTCAATTCTGCTTCATTTTCTATCCACCACATTCATACAATAAGTATTCAATATATAAACGTTGGAACTCATATCCTAAACAAATAACAAGCATTAAACATATTAAACATATAGTTTCTGGTTTACGAAATAAAAATAAAAGTCTCACTTGTTGAAAAGAACCCCGCTTCACTTAGCTGCGTTGAGGTAGGCAATTGATGCGGCCATCTTTGAAATGAAGCAATCCTCTCCTGACAGTTTGCATATTCTCTGTATCTAGGTGGAACTGTTGGCCGTCTCGATGCAGTAGACGACAACAACGCATTATTGGCAATATTTACAGCAGAAGAAACTAAAGACAGGTTATCGCTAAAATGCAACGACGGTGTAAATGCAGAGGGAACCTGTTCTACCAGCTCATTTCCCAAATCATCAGATTCCACCTGTATAGGGAATTTAAGTAGTTCATCTTCAACAGGAAAGTGGTCGAATTTTCTCACTCGTCTGTTATGGTAACTGGTAAGGTGTGGGCAAAGAACTTTACGTCTATATCTATGTGTATAATATGTATTTGAATGTCGTTTCTTTCTGATAGAAATTATTCTATGATTGTAAACTGTTTCAGGCGGCCAATGCCCGGTTTTTCTCAGGACTTTATTTAAATAGCCAGAACTATTTTTTCTTTGTCGAGACTTTGTCTTGTAATAAATCGGTATTAAGTCTTCAAATGCAACTGAAAATTTTGAACGGATACTTTTCTTTTCTATGCCTAACTTATCAAACAGAGAATATGTCATAGCGTTTTTAGGTAAAACATGTACTTTGTCTCTTCCTAACCCGACTATAACAAATGTATGAATACTATTTGACATATCAGTTAGTCCTTTTAAAGCGACCGTTTTTGTATGAGCATTTGAAATCACGTCAGCATACTTTGATTTATCATGCTTAATGTGAATATATATATCTCCCAAATGATAGAAGATCGGGCAGTTGTTAAAACAGCACAAGATAACTCCAATATCCATTAGTGCACTTGATACATCATTGTCTCCTCTCGTTATCTTCACAAAATCAATATCATCATCGGCATTGTCATTATCAGCAATAACTGTCTCTGTTAATATCGTCTTCACATTCTTATTTATTTGCTGACCTGTATTACCTTTACGGGCTGTTTTTATTTTAGTAGGTTCTAAACAAGACTTTGTATTGGTCTTTTGAAACTGTGAACCTGTCTCCGACATAATTATATTGTTATGATTTCGATAATCTTTTTATTAAATTATCACCTATACACACAAATTATTATGTCTAACCTGGAATACACCTGTCAATTCCCGTCAATATCAATAAATTGATCACATAACTTTTTGTTAATTCAAGCGTGTTTATCATAGGAGATCTTTTTATCATTGTATAATCCAGCTTCGTTCTCTTCACTGTCTTTGTAACTCTACAAATACTATTGTTCAGCTTAGCTTAAGCTTTCAACTATTTCCATCCCGGTTCAGCAAGAAGTAATTATCTAAGACATATGAATAAAATGTTAAAATATGTTAAGTTAATCTAATAAACGAAGGCTACACCATTCGCATATATATATAAACGACCCACGACGATAAAATGGAACCGAAGAATTATAACAAAGCAACAAAAGTACATGTATACAGATAAACAAATACCACTAAAACCCCTTAACAATCACAAGAAAATTCCAACAACGAAACTAATCGTTAGTGTGATAAGTTTTACACGATAGCATCGATGTTTTGTTTTGTATGAATCGGCCAAATACGTAATTATGTTTAATATTTTATTACTGGTTGTGCTTGTTATGATTAAATCAGGAATTTACAGTAATTATAATGACATATTCTTTCAAAGCACCTTTTATCCTTGTTTGACTTATTTATGCGTAGTTAAGCTTGCGTGACATAATCTATAAGCAGAAACTATTCAATACGGCTTTCAATAGACTTTTTGGCTTTAGTCCAATAGAGACTAATCAATAAAAACATTTCATGTTGTTTCTTTTAAATGTTTTTGAAGGACTCCCATATAACATGTAGTATATCATATCTGTTAACAAGATTGGAATTCGGCCAGAAAATGAAGAATTTGGTGGCAACTTTGTAAAATGTTTTGAGCATATCATATTCTCATGTATTCAAATAAATTACATGCATATGATATCATATACTTAGAGCCACAAACAGCCGTAGTGATATAATGACTAATAATATTCCAATTGAAGTTTTGTGAAGTCAGGATTACTGCTAACAGAAAATGTCGGAACCGCTTATGGCAGAAGTTGTGTACAAAACTACTTTAAACACTAGGATAAAGTTACATTTAACATTTCGTTTGATTTAAATCTATGTATTTTAAACCTTACCTCTGTCAGTGCTGCTTCAGTTCAGACTGAACAAAATTTTATGTTAGCAACAATTAGAACATTGTCTGTTTATTTACACTAACTATTAAAAATTATTTATAGTTATTTCCTTCAGAATTTCTTTGGTTGACAAACACAAAAACAGTGCGTTATTTGTAAAAATTCCTTCAATTTTGATAAGACACACAATATAAGTAAAACATGTATTAGAAACCACAGAAAAAATACGATAGTCAAAATCATTTCATTGTTATTATAAACCTCTACTGTCGAATACATAAAATGTGTTTATTTCGATAGTTAAAAACCTGTCAAACTAGATGATCACTAAGTCCTTTATTCGATTCGTAAATTTTAACGATTATGGTTAAACAAAACACTGACATACATAGATAAAAACTGTACCTTGACAAAACGCCAAATGTTATATATATATACAGATCATTATTTACGTTTATGTTTACAAGTAGTCTAGGTTGCATGTTAGCACCGTACCTCTTTTCAATGAAAAATTTAAGATACTTTATACAATATGAGGTGTTCATAACGCAATTAAAAGTAATCGCGAAAGTAGCATATCTGCCTTCCTTAGATTCCATATTTATGTCCCAAGTTTGGATGTAGCCCAAACATTGATTGAATGAATGTTTTAACACTGCTATGTTCAGATATGTTTTCGTGCGAATGAGACATTTTTTAAATTCTATAACAAACACATATTTCTTAGCAGGTGAGTTTCATGTGACATTTTCTTCAAAATGTTTTATTTTCCCGTAAGTTTAATATTCAAGGTATGTAAAAAGGCAGAATCGAAATAATCATAATTAGCATTAAAGTTACAGTACATTTAAATGAATCATAACGTTTAAATAACGCAAAATCAATAACTCTATATTAAGAGATTAACAGAAGTACCGGACGAGATATCCGGAACACTCTGAACACTTCGATGATAGCTTGGACATAACCAGTTCATTCGTCTCTACTTAACGGTACAAAATACCTGCATTTACTCATTTACGAAGTCTAAGAAAGATCTGGTTTATGTATTGAAAATTTTATGCTTGTTATTAAATAATTAGGGCTTTGACACCTAATTTCATATAATACCATACACCAAAAACCATATA